TGAGTAAAGCTGGAAGCACAGCCAGTGTCGAGTTCCCTTCCGTGTGGGAGCCGGGTCCAGCATAGCATCGGGCTAGTTACAGTCCATCAGTCCACTGTGTGCGGGGTCTGCATGGCCGCGGGCCACGTGGGAGAGCATGCCCCAAGCAACAAGAGTCCCAACGGTCCCAAAAGCAAAGAGAGTGAACTCCTTTGCTCAGGGGATGAACTATCCCCAATTTTCTCATGCTTGCAGAGGCCACGCCCATTCTGCCCAGCCATCTCCATCCCCAGGTGTGACTGACAGGCAAGTACCTTTCCTATGTCATCTTAACTTTACTGAGCATGTGTCTATCTTCCCTTTGTCCAGACCTCTTCCCCAGTGTTTTGCAGGGGACATGCCTATAATGCCTGGCCTTTCCTTTCCTCCTTTTCTATTATTAATAATTAGCTAATTACAACAGTATCACAACCAACTGAGCCACTTGGCCAGGGCTAGATCAAAAATTTAAATGTAAAATATAAAAATTTTAGAAGAAATCTTCGGGACCTAGTGCCTGGTGAAGACTTTTTAGGCATGGCACTAAAGCATAATCCAAAAAAGAAAAACATCAATAAATGGGGCTTTATCAAAATTAAAATTGTTCTGCAAAAATTCTGTTAAGAGAATGAAAAGATAACCTACAGGCAGAGAAAAAAATATTTGCACTCCCCAAATATTACAAAGGGTATGCATCTAGAATATATAAAGGCTTCTCATGAGTCCACTAAAAAAACCTAATGCCAAATGGGCGTAAGACATGAAGAGACAGCTCAGCAGAGGATATCCAGACGGCAGATAAGCAACCACTGAATGATGTTTAACATCAGCAGCCATTAGAGAAACGCACCACTATGAAGAGAGCTACAATATAAAGTCTTGACAATGCAAAATGCTGGTAAGAAACTGAATATTTCATACCCTGAGTGTGGGAATGTAGAGCAGTGCAGCTCCTCTGGAAGGGTTTGGCAGTTTCTTTAAAACTAAACATACACTTACCACATGATCCAGTAATCACATTTCTGTACATTAATGCCAGAAAAATGAACACCCATGTTCACACAGGAACCTTACACAAATATATATAGATTCTTTATTTGTAATAGCCCCCAGTGAAAACAACTGAAGTGCCTTCAATAGGTGAACAGACAAGCGGTGGAATATCCATATTGTGGAATACTACTCAGCAGTAAAAAAGAACCAACTGTCGATATGCACAAAAACTTGGATCGCTCTCGAGGGCATTAGGCTAAGTGAGATATGCCAGTCTCAGAAGGTCACATCTGTATGATTCTATTTATCTAACACTCTCAACTTCACAAAATTGTAGAGATGGAGAACAGATTCGTGGATGCCAGATGCTAGGGTGACGGTGCCTGGAGGGAAGTGGTTGTAACTGTGAAGGATAGCGTGAGGGAGATCTCTGTGGTAATGGGATGGTTTTCTGCTTGATCTCGGTGGCAGTTACACAAATCTAAAATGTGCCCAAACAGGAACAGACCGTGCGCACAGCGTAGCAGCGTCAGTCTCCTGGTTTTGATACTGCACTACAGTTCCTTAGAATATAACCACTTGAGGAAATAGGCGAAAGGGTACGTAGGATCTCCCTGTACTGTCTGTGAAACTTCCTGTGAATCTGCAGTTAGTTCAAATAAAAAGTTTTTAAAAATTAGCTTTCTAGCTAAAATCCAGAGCCCTCCAAACACCAAATATTAGCAAGGATGTAGTACAACAGGGACTCACTCATTCATTGTGGGAATGCAGAATGGTAGTCACTTTGGGAGACACTCTGGTGGCCTCTCAGAAAGCGGAACGGACTCTTACCATGCGATTCAGCAGACACAGTCTCAGCGATTGAATCAAATGAGTTGGAAACTGTCCACACAAAAACCTGCACACAAATGTTTATAGCAGCTTTATTTATAATTACCCAAATTTGAAGTAACCAAAATGTCATTCAGTAGGTGAATGGATAAACAAGCTGTGGTACATTCACACCATTAACTATGATGCAGTGATAAAATGAAAAGCTATTAGGCTATGAAAAAACATGGAGAAAAATATATATTGCTAAATGAGAAGATTATCTTAGACTGAAAAAATTACTATTTGATTCCAATTATATGACATTCTGGAAAAGATCAGTGGTTTCCAGGGTCCAGGGAGAGGAGGCAGGAGAGGAACAGGTGGAGCAGAGGGGAATTTTGGGTTGGTGGAACGGTCTGTGTGATGCAGTGCTGGATACGTGACATCATGCATTTGTCAAAAGCCATTGGTGTATATAATATAAAAAGTGAACCCTAATGTAAACTGTAGGCATCAATTAATGATAATGTATCAATAGTGGTCTATCAGTTGTAGCACACGTACCACACTAATGCAAGATGTTAGCACTAAGAGATACTGTATGTGGAACAGGGGGTTAGGGATCTCTTGTGCTTTCTGCACATTTTTTTCTGTAAACTTAAAGCTTCTCTAAAAAAGTAAAGTCTATTTAAAAAGGACTCTTTTATGTGGTAAGATATAAAATTTACTGTTTTCTTTTTTATCCCATGCCTGTCTGAGTTTTAGTATACATCTATCATACATCTATTTATTTTATAATGGGAAATGGAGCTACGTAAAAGAAACATCTGGGTCAATTGTATCTTCAATTTTCTGAAAATTTGCTTTGATACTATAACCCATAGGTACAGAAAATTGCTATTTACTAGCAATTCTTGAAAGCTTGTTAAAAGATGAATTTTTCAAGAGTTTATTTCTGCACACATTGATTTAAATCTGGCAGCAGCAAGCTGAAAGTGGTTAAGAGAGCTTTGCCAACAGGAGCTGGGGGAAGGCTTTTATAGGGAAGACCAGGAAGCAAAGCACGAGAATGATTTGATCGGCTATAGCACAGTAGTTGTCTTACTTGGGAAAGCGTAGCTACTGTTTGTGATCAATTGCTCTGAAATTTCATGTTGTGGGGAACAAGTGCAATTATAAGAATTAACTCTGACTTAGGTTCTGGTTTGCTAATGTAGGCTACCAAGGCATGAGAACCTTCTCTGTCTAATGACTTTAGCAATCCCCTCCGTTTGGTCACATGAGAAAGTGACCAAATATTTGGCATTAGTGCCGGTATTTGGTGTTTGGTATTCAGTCACCATCGGGGTTCAGTTGTTCTTGTTTTGCTGTGAAACGCATACGTATGAGGTCAGGTTTGTGGAAGGCTTTTGCTGTTCATCTCATTTTTCATCTTGTTTCTGTTTTTTCAAGCACAGTGAGACCGTCTGTTGTCCTGCTGATGGCTGTGAACACATGTTTAAGACCCTGAGAGAACATAGCTCACCAGGGAGACTGCAGCGACGACTGTCAAGAGGATAGTACCGGGAGACTAAAGTATCTTCAAGTCCAAGTCCCCCATGAAACAAACCAGTTGGTATAAAATAAGTCAAAGAATGTACCTGAAGAGGCATCAATCTGTTTTAGCCAAGTGGCATGCTTGTTAATTTCTTGTACTTGCGTTTCTATGACACCAGAGATGTTAGTCCAGGTAAAGCAGGGTATTTTCCATGGCACAGACATCTTGCTCAGTAAACAGGTAATCTGAAGCAGTTCTATTATCTGACACCACCTTATCTGCTCAAAATAATCCATATGCCAAAGAGGCACACCCTGGGGTGGCGTGTGCTGCTCCTTTCAAGGTCATCCTGCTTGGGTTTGTGTCTGTTTTGTTTTCTTTCTCTTAAATTTTTATCATCAGCTGTAGGAATTTTTAGGAAAAATAATGGAATTTATAATTTTGCAACACTATACCACTAAGCATGGTACCTAATTACTTTTTTTTGCATTTTTCCTTTAATTCTTGTAATAACTCAAAAAAATAGCATCAATATTTTAATGAAAGAAATCAGGTTAAATTGAGTTAGTAAGATACCAATGGGAAAGGGGAGGTTTCAAATATATGCTGATANAATAACTCAAAAAAATAGCATCAATATTTTAATGAAAGAAATCAGGTTAAATTGAGTTAGTAAGATACCAATGGGAAAGGGGGGGTTTCAAATATATGCTGATAGATTTGACTTTGGGTGGTAGGCACACAATGCAATATACAGATCATGTATCATAGAAAGATACACTTGAAACCTATAAAATTATTAACCAATACATTTAATAAAAAGGACACCAGTGAATACTTAGTTAGTAAGTGATAGAGCTGAGATGAAGCCCAAGTCTAATTCATTTCAAAAACACTGATATGCCAGTCTACCATATTGTCATGGATAATCTTCATGGTTTGGCATAGGTTTTGGTGACCATTTTAGAAATAAATATCAAGTAGTAGTTTCAAAGATAAATGAGCAATAGCTCACTGTGTCTCAAACATCCTTTCCTCCTATTTAATGTCACTTCCCTCCCCCCACACACTTTACCCAGTTTTTCCACTCAGAGCCCCGTCTCCAAATACAATATGGTTCCAAGAATAAGTCAGACCATTCTCCTGGTAATAAAACAGGCATTCAAGTCTATGTTAATAAAATGGGTAATGGCAATTCAGTGCCTAATCTGGTTGCTCATTGAGTCTGGAATGAATGACATTGATCTCTAAATTCTGTAATATATATGGATCCTCCTCTGCTCTGCTCTCCACTCCACCCCCATCTTCTCCCTACCACCTGTCTCACCTATTATCAGAGGCCAAACCCTAGGCGTTGAGATTCATTCTAATGAAGATCCAGATATTTCATTGGCTTGGAGGCTCAAGAACCAAAACCAAATTCTGAACTGGTTCCTTGGTAGAGATCTTCCAGCAAACCTTCTTCTAGAGTTTTCCAGGTAAGGACTGGACCACAGCCGCTGTCTTACTTATGGTCCTCTGAATAAGACCACGCCCTAATGAACCCAGGTATTTTTTATTAATTACAGAGTATGAAGGGATCCCATATATTCCCCAGCCCCTGTGAAGAACTGGATCAGACGCCAAAAACTCCACCTGGACTTATCCAATAGTTTATTGTATTTAGAAAAATCACAGTCACAGTTTGAAGAAACCCCAAGCAGTAAGTATACAGGAGATGCTCCTATAGAATTTTCAGAAGTTCTTACAGCAAAGAAAGGATCTTATTGGGCCTACTGGAGGGGCATTGCATGCTCATAGTAAAACAGAGAGTGGGAAATGGAGGGAAAACAGAATCGGGAAGGGCCAATGGACAGGGAAGTCCAACTAGATGCTGGAGTATGGAGAGATGGCGAAGGCATCACCACTCTTAGACTGACTGCAAAGTGCTGAAGAATGGTTGTCTTCACGGAGGTGAACAATTGGAGAATTGCCAATTTGTAAAGATGTTAAAGCAGAAACCTCTTCATGATCTTCTCCCTAAGGACACACATAATTTCTAAAGAGTTTAAGATGAACATTTGAGCAGATACCCTCATATTCCTTCCCCTTTTTCCTTAACCCTTTGACTTTGGAAAAGTCTCTTAATATTCATCTGGCTTCTAGTAAATACAACCGTTCCAACATGAACTGCTATATTCTACTCTCCAGCTGAGCCTGAACAAGGAGACCATGCTTTACCTCTTCTTAGAACCCCTGACAGCACTTTTCAGACTGAAGGAGCAAGAACAGGCATTGGCATTCACGCAATGAATCCACNTCCCCTTTTTCCTTAACCCTTTGACTTTGGAAAAGTCTCTTAATATTCATCTGGCTTCTAGTAAATACAACCGTTCCAACATGAACTGCTATATTCTACTCTCCAGCTGAGCCTGAACAAGGAGACCATGCTTTACCTCTTCTTAGAACCCCTGACAGCACTTTTCAGATTGAAGGAGCAAGAACAGGCATTGGCATTCACACAATGAATCCACACTGACCCCAAAAGAGCCAAGCTCTGGAGATGCTTTTGACCTTATGGTCAGCCTCAGAAAATATTAGGCAAGAAGTGCTCAGATCTTGAAGCTAACTTTCCTAGATCACTGGACCTCGCCATCTAACATTAAACAATGTCTTGAGACCTGGAGATAATTTCCACAACTGAAGGTCTAGGTACACACACGTGGAAAGTAATGGTGGACCTTAAAGCTTGGGGATACCAGACGATGCTTATGTCTGATTCTGTCCTAGCAAAGCTAAGTCAAAAGCCATCACTTTTCCCATCTTTGTCCCTTAGAGGCATCGCATGTCCTGTCCCCTACTCTGTTTCCTTCCCTTGATAACCCCACGCATGTCTTCCTCTGGCCACACCAAACCCACCTGCAAGTGCCTCACAGTGGCCCACGGCGTTCAGCAGCCTGGCCTTTGCGCACGCCCTTGATGATGAAGATGGTCCCAACGATGATACCCACCAGGCCTACAACCAAGCCCAGGCCACACACCACATTCTCTGTTGTCTCTGGGAGTGGGCTGTGTCCTTCAAACTCTGGGGAAACAAAAAACAGAGTACACAAGTAATGAATGTGGCACTAAGTCAAAACAATAATTATTAATCAACTAAAGAAGAGGAAGGCCGAATGATGTATTACGGAAATTGCAAGTTAGAAAGTCAGGAAAGCTGGATAGTGGGAAAAGACAAGAAGGGGAATTGTAGCCGTTGTTATGAAACGGTTCGCAGACTCTGACTCCCAAAGGACCAGACACATGCATCACAGAAGGAAACCATAACATAAAGGAGATTGAAGGATGGTCCATACCCCAGTGCTTGATAAGAGGCTTCTCCAAACCCCAGTGCTCCACCTTGCAGTCATAGACATCCTCAGTTGAGGGCAGGAAGGGGAGATAGTAGAACTTGCGGAAAAGGTGGTCCTCCCTGGGCAGGAAGACCGTCTCCGACACTCCTGTTGTGACAGGTTTTCCATTTTGAAGCCATGTGACATTGATCACTGGTGGGGAGAACTTGTCGATAAAGCAAATGAGGACGTTGGGCTCTCCCAGTTCCACAGGGTTGCTTGAGAGCACAGTCATCTCTGGAGGTACTGGGGACAAAGGACAGAAATGAGCCTCCTGGCTTAGGCTTGACCCCTCCCTCTCTCCCACTAAAGCTCAAAAGAAGTTGATATTGTGCCCTGAGAATCTATGCCAGTCTCAGATACTTATCTCTGACATGCTCACCCAGAAACGGTAACTGATATTGAGGTATAAGAAATTCAGGGACCTCATTCTGGCTTTCCCAGCATAGATTNGAAATTCAGGGACCTCATTCTGGCTTTCCCAGCACAGATTCAGGACAACAACTTTGTGAATGACAGAGGATGGCAGAGACAAGATGAGAAAACATCAGGAAATGAAAACATGCATGAAGTTCTTAGGCCTGCAGCATGAGAATTTAGGGCTTGTTTATGGCAAGTTTAGGCCCCTGGAGGGGAAAGTCATTCACGATAATGTAATGGAGAGCCGAAGCATCTACTTAAAGCCACGATCCCCANAGTCATTCACGATAATGTAACAGAGAGCGGAAGCATCTACTTAAAGCCATGATCCCCTCATCCAGGAGTGCAGCAGGGAGAGGTACCATTGGTGTTCGGGGTGTGGTTGCTGCGCTTTATCATGGTGTCCAGGTTGGCTTTGTCCACAGCGATATTGGCCAATGCACCCTGAGCCTCAAAGCTGGCAAAATCACCAAATTCTTTAAGCCGCCAGACCGTCTCGCTCTTATCCAAGTCCACATGGAAAATCTCGTCACCGTCAAAGTCAAATGCAAACTCGCCCGCCGAGCCAGGGGTCAGATAGAACTCAGCCTGGATTATCACATGATCCTCTGCAAAGGCAGAAAAGGGAGTTAGGGTTGGAACAGGCAGAGAAAGATGTAGAAGAATCCAGGATGGGAGACACAAATTGTGGGCTGGGGGTGGTGAAAGGGGTGGGCCAAGAGGAACGGAGGTGAGAGGGAGAGTAGGGATGAGTGGGGAGATGAGTCCTGGGTGAAGCATATTCCTGTTGAGCAAAAAGTGGAGGGAGAAATTTAGGGGCTTGTTAGAGAGGGAGGATGGAAGGAAATGGGGCTGAAAACTCCGAGGCTTCGGAAGCTGTGGTTTGCCTCCAGGTTACTAGCTGAGGAATGATCCCCACTCTAGAAATCCTGCAGCAGCTCTTAGGAGGTTGGCTTCTGGACTCTGAAATCAAAACAAAGCTGGAATTCTTGTTCAAAAAGAAGTACTTACTTACCTGGGGATCTTGAGCAGATGGTTTCATCTGCTTACATGTAGTTTTCCTATTATTTTCTTCTGAGGTTTTGCTTCTTCCATAGGTTTGTTTTTAATTTAAATCAGACAAGGTAAGTAATTTGTTAGAATATCATCAGGCCTATAACAAGCACTTTTTAGGGTCAGAGACTGGTGGGAGAGAGGACTAGGGCCTTGGAATGTAACACTGGGGTCTGAAGTACCCCGGGAATTAAGACTGAGACTTGGTAGAGCACCCATGTTCCTGGACCTACACCCACACTGTGGGTACCCTGAGGGAAGAATTATGTTTGGACTGACCTTGGCAATGAGCCCATATATCTTAAAGCTCCTTATATTGAGACTGTCATTATGAGATCTGTCCTATTATGCTTGATACTGAGAATAATCTGTACGAAGGGAATAATCAATTTGAAACAAGAAAGTTACAATTGGAGAGTATGCACCCTCCAAGGTGTATGTGGAGGGGAGGGGGATTTTAAAGCCTGACTGTATATAGGTAAAGCCAGGGGTTTATTTAGCATTTGCAGCTATGCATTCACCTGTGTGTGCCTACACACACACACACACACACACACACACTCTAGTTGCCCCTTTCAGCCCAAGGGATGGGCCTCTCTCTTTCTAGCTATGCATCCCCATGTATGGCTCTTTCTGGGCAATAAAAATCTCCAGTTGCCATCATGGATCTTGGGGCTGGGCTTTTACTTTACTTATTTCCAGTGCACCTGCCACCCTCTGCTGTGGTCACCTGGAGCGAAAGGTATTTCTTCTCAATACATCACTACAGCACAATGTTTGCTCAGGGGATGGCGGAGAACATCAGACCCTTTGCTCCCTTATTCATTTTCTACTCTCCTGGGAAAACTGCTAAGTAGCAGTGACCAAGATCCTTGTAAGATCCCATATAGGGAGCCTGCCGCTGCCCCAGGAGGCAGTAAATTAAACGCAGCTCTTATCGGCGCACCTGTCCTTCCCCCGCCCTTGGGAAGATTGTTACTTTTTGGTGACTTTCCTTTCTAGTGATCTTCACTAAAATGTCATTGCTCAAAATATCCTCACGGCATTCACATGACAAAAAAGAACTGCCATGCATTCAGCTAAGAACTTCTCATATTTTTCTCATTTAATCCTAACAAAATTGTGTGAGGTTTTCCATTTTACTAATTTTCTAGAAGGATAAATTGAAGCCCAGAGAGGCAGCTTGCTAGTGCCTGTCAGAAAAGATGTCCCCCTCAAGTTTGGCTGGCCAATATACAGCTCAGTTTTGCTCCTCTAAACTAAATTGGACTGACTTCAAGTTGTGGTGAGAAGAGAGCCCTCCCAGCTGCCACAGATTACCTTTTCAGGCTGAGGCCCTCAGAATGCCTGTCAAACTTTTCTTTCACTCCAAATGTTTATGACTCTCTCAGCACTTACCTTTGATAGCCCACGATTCCTGAAGGCTCATCAGGGCAACGGTGATGAAAAACCCTAACGCTGGGACTCCGGTGATGGCCATGTTCCTCCTGGGTGTTGGTGGGGTCAGTGGCGCTCAGGAGTGGAGTGGCACAGACGGGAGTCACAGAGAGCGCAGAGTGTCAGCCCGGCTGACTCAGATGCAAATCAGTGGAGCTGCAGCCAATCAGCAAAGTGTTCTGAGATGACACATGTGTTGCTAAGGAAAGGACTCTTGTGAAGGGTCTAGAAAAGGAGACGCTTAGACAAGAACTTAACGTTCTTAAACAAACACTAAACAAAGAAAACAACAAAAAAATTCACGTTTTTTGGGGGGAACGTTAGGCAGTCACTCACAGTCCTCCAGCCCCATCCAAGCTCTAGAAAGGGACATATTCACATGAGTGAGAATATAATCAGTGGAAAAACCTAAACTGTCATGGGAGTTAATGACAGCTCAGGCCTCTGTGCTGAGACAGCTGGGGAGTTCATTTTAAAAGACAATAAATCATCTGAAAAGAAGGTAAATTATCAGGCTATGGAGAATACCTGAATCTTGGCAATACTGGGGGACAGAGCTTCACCTAAGGAGCTCCTTACCGCTCCTCCTCCGGTGTCCTAGCCCCCAAGGTGGCCAGCTCCGCCCGAGAGCGCGAGATCCCTGGCACTGTACTGTACTTCAGGGGGTGCTGAAGGAGAAACTGAGTTTCAACTCTCCCCCAAATGAAGAGGGCTGGAAAGCTACCCCTTGGAAATGGGTAGTGGTTACTGGAAACAGTGAAATTTTAAGGGCCTGCTTTTTGCTAGTGCCAACCAGAGATGACCAGAGATGGAGTAGGCTGTTGGGGACACGCCTCACTTGAAGACTTGGGTCAGTGAATAGGCTGAAGTAAATTGGGCAGAGCTAATTTTACTGGGAATTGTAGGGATGAGCTGTAGGAGGGCTTTACCATTACTTCCTTATGTCATAAAATTATGGAAGTTCTCATCCAAAGAGTTAATTTTGATGTTTACTATGGAGACTGCTGAAAGTTAAGACATTCTGACCCTCATGTTTTTAAAAACAGTGCAATACAAAGGAAAATGAAGCCGCACATAGAAAGGGTTGGAATCCAAATACTTTCAATGAAGGGAGACCTGTCGATGAGGCAGCCCATCAGATGGTGAGTTCAGTGTTTCACATGAGTTACTGTCATGTACTCAGGGTGAGTTTTCCACACCCTTGTGCTGAGATCTCATCCTGCCCTGCAGCTGCCCTCACAAACCAGGAGGACAAACCCCTACATGTTACTGAAAACCTGATCATAGCTAAGGGCTTTGGACATTCTCTGACACTGACCTATGGGCCCCTTGGAGGAGACCCACAGCAGGGTTCCAGCCTGTAGCTCTCAAGGAATACGCTTCCTGGAGGCGGGAATGGGCCAGAGGAAAGCATCACAATATCCGTCTCTGTCGAGAGTTTGATTCTATGATTCAGGCTTGTCATCCCCTGTTTCGGAGGAAAAACCTAGTGTGATTTTTCTGTGCCTTTCCTTTGCTGCCCTGATACCTCATTCTTACAAGGAGCTCAATAAATATATGGTAATCTCAGAGACATTTTACAGAAAAGTATCTGACATGTCACAATTGCACCTTCAACCCAACACTTTGCTCAGTAACTTATGATATTGTTTAGTCCTAAAGCACTGATTGGTCACCCTCCTGAGATTACTAAATTTGGGAGATTTTGCAAAAGACTTTCAGTTCCCTCTCTCTGTGATAGTGGAGAAGTTCCTATCTGGAAACTACTCAGGGTTCCCTTTCTCTCCTGTGTGTTTGAGGGAGCTTCTGAGGCTCCTGAATGAAGCCTTCTTGGTGACATGGATGGTGACGAGCCACTGCACTCAGAGTTCAGTCAGGAAATAGAAACCCTGTAGACACTCCCATAGGACTGCTTATTACAGTGCTGCCCTATTATAGGAAATCTTACCTTGACACTGTTAGGAATTCTGGAGGAGCAGTCAGTGCAGACCCCCAGTGTTGAGTGGTCAGAGGTCAGCGGCCTGTAGGAGCCACTGCTGACAACATAGCTCCTCTGGCGCCTCAAGGGAAGGAATGTTCCAGGACACAGGCCATTTGCCAAGACTCCTGTCTGGGATCCTTTGTGTCCATGCGTGAGAGGGCTTCAGCCCACTGGCCCCCTCCCAAATCTCAGGATACTGCTCCACTGGCAGCAAGTCGGCCACATCCGAAGCCTGGGGCAAGGAGAGCCTGAGAAAGCAGCATTCTTACACCTGCTTCCTTTTCTTAAACCAGACCAGAGAAGTGAATGAGAATTTTTTAAAAAACCGACTAACTGCAAATACTATACCCACATAACTCACTCTGGTTCCCCTACAGCACCGAACCTAGAACCAGAGAAAACATTATCTGGGTTAGGGCTTAGGCCTCGGCAACGAGAACTTTCACACTGGATGCAGGCCAAGCCTGGGACCTCACTACTTCATGTTTGTGTGGTTGGAATTCTGAGAACCTCCGGCCCCTTCTTTAGCCTCCCTTCCCTGCCCTTGCCCGCCCAGCACTAAGGGTCTTAATGACACCTGTCCCGCGGAGGACGCCCTGAGGAGAGGGGGGGTGTTCATCTGGGCATTTCTTTCCCTAACCCCCACGCAGGAAACTGTCCTTGTTCTGTATCCTTTGTCCCTCTGATCCTGAGAGGAGGCAGAAGCTCTTTGGCTGAAATAAGTCTCCAGCAGGTTGAAGGCTGCTGGCTGTTGATATCAACAAGTGCGCCTGGGAGCTGGGTCAGTGCCCCTTCCCAAGGTGTCCTGTGTGGGTAGAGGGCTGCCTGCGGGGTAACAGCGTGAGCCTGGCTCGTGCTCTCTTCACCTGCCCCTGGGGCCTGGTACTGTGAAGCCTCANCCTGGCTCGTGCTCTCTTCACCTGCCCCTGGAGCCTGGTACTGTGAAGCCTCAGTTCCCTCTGCACAGGCCCCAAGTGTTCTTTGCTTGGGTCGGTTTTGCATGTATACATATATTTACGTGCTTTCGTATATACAAACACAAACACACACTCNAGTTCCCTCTGCACAGGCCCCAAGTGTTCTTTGCTTGGGTCGGTTTTGCACGTATACATATATTTATGTGCTTTCGTATATACAAACACAAACACACACTCTTATGTTTGTTGTGTGTGCACGTGCACGTGAGGATTTGGAAACTTTAAATCCGCATCTCAGAATATCTATTAGCTGACCACAGGTTCCAGTGCTATAACCTGAGCATCCATACTCAGGCTGTCCTATAATTCCCAATTTTCTCATTTGTTCTAAAAGGCACAGGCTTAACTTAATAGCTGAGACATTGTGAAGGAAAAGATTAATTTGAAAAATTACCGAAGGAGCCTAAGCGCGGTTTCCTTCAATAGCTGCCCCTCACGGCCAATCGACAGCTTGAGCCACTCACTCAGCACCTCCTCTGCAGAGAGTTACACAGTCTGCAGCTTCAGAGCTGCTTTCAACTTCCTTTGTCATCTCCGCGAATCCCGAGAATAGAGGCCAGGACGATGTAAAGTTGTTATCGTCTTTTGAAAATGTGCCTGCCCTCACCGGTGAGTCTTCCTTTCAGCTCCTCTCCCGGGACTAGGGAATGATGTTAGTCACTGTCCCTGGGAGATGCGGCCCAGAAATCTCATCCTTAAATGTGATGCTCTGTCCCATGAGGTCTACACTGCAGGGGCTCATCTGGGGCTGAGCGATTTCATAGAATACAGCTGGATTTCACAAATACACCTCTCTCTGTATGGAAGTTGGAGGAGAACTGGGGAAGTGAATTTCAATCAATCAAGTTATATAATTTTTGTTTACTCATCAATTCCTTAATTAAATGTTATTTGCTCATACTCTATTTTGTTGCATAGGTGCTGTTTCGTTGTATTTTAGAAAACCTGAAGCATACACATGTAACTAGTAGGTTGGAAAAGCACTTCATGAAACTCTAGATTGAGCTGAAATTCGTGTGTCTGCTATTGCCCCAGATTCTCAGCAGGGGAGCCATCTCCCTGCCGTTGTACAGGGATTGTAGCATATCACGGGGAACTTGCTCAATTTTAATTAACAGAACATCCTATAATTCCTTTAACTTGCACAAACATATCTTAATTCAGCAACTAGATGATTTAGTTCTATGTAACCATTAAAAGTCCCAGTTTAATTTAAGATAAATTCTTTTCTTCCCCAAGCTGGAGAGTTTGGGGGACAGGAAGGTGTTTAGTGTTCCTTCTTCTGTCCATTCCCCTGGGTGGGTTCAGAGAGACGGAGAGGAAAAGGCAGGAGATGTCAGTGGAAATAAAATGCCTGTGTTCTCTGGGCCCGCCTGGTGCTCAAAGCAGGGCTTTCCTCTTGTGTGAGCTTTTGTAGGCTCTTCAGATTCCCTCGTGGCCTAAATCTGGGGCATAGGAAATGCTGAAACATGCTTTGTGCCCACAAACTCTAGGTGTGTAGACCATTCCCAGCACAGCCACCCTTTCCAGGACCTGCCACCCTGCCCTCCAGGTTTCCTGATGGGCATCAGGGGCAAATTTCCTTGTCCTCAACCACCCAACTCTATGGCAGGTAAAGCAAACTCTTGGGTGCCCTAGAAATAAGTGCATTAAGTTCCAGGCAAGTAAATTAGTCTCTTCCCCACATGCTCGGGGGGTAGAGGTAGAATCAGTCGTAAAGAGCAGATCCATCCAAAGATATCACAAACCTGCTCCCTCCTGTACTTTCTGAACACCTTTTCTCGGTGGAGAGAGAACAACAAACATGTTTTCCCAGGCGAATCCTGCAAAACGCATCAAGGGAAGCTTACAAGTCCATAAATACATCTGAATTCATGGCCCTTTAGGTGAAACTGAGGAAAGAAGACACACATTAGACAAACCTTATATACTAAGGGGTATAAGTCGCATTATGTTACAGTGGAGGAGACGGGCGTAGAGCTGGCCCTGTAAGCCGTGCCTCGTCCAGTCTCCTCAGGGGTGATGGAGGGGGCTGAGCTGTAACCTGGCTGTCCTTAGAGCAAGCATTGCACAGGGGACTCTGTTAAGGAATAAACCGAGCTTCTTTCAGCTGTTTTAAAGTCACCCGCGCTCTG